TGGTTTTATTGTCTTGAAATTTTTACATGTTCTACAGTAATTCCTGTACACTGAATCTAAAAATGATATCCATTTTTCTCCATCGCGTATATATTTTTCACAAAACTTCATATGTACTTTTATATAAGTGTATCATTTTCATTGAAATCGGGTCATATTTTGTTATGCTTAAAATGTTGACAACCACTGGCTATAGACAAATCGCGAAGTGAGAGTCTTATCGATCGTTCTAGAACCCAAACATAATAATAAAAAAATTTCATTATGGAAAACGAAATACTAATTTGATCGATGTAAGATTTTTTATTCTTCCCGATTTGTAAAATTTTCTTACGTGATAGAAAAAACGAATATTATTTCCGAAATCTGCGTAGCTGAATTATGGAAAACCTGTTATTAAAACTAAAATAACTTTTATGAAATTTAAATTCGCAGGCCTGTGTAATCATCTAGTCCATAAATTGTGGTTAGCCACATTATAGGTATAATTAATTTAAAACATATATTTATTATTTGAGTGATCTGACCACTCGTCTACTAGAAAGTATGTATAGATAATGGCTATACTTTATATGCATGATTAACAAAAATGGATCTGACTCATATCCCCAGTAAGCAGTAGTATCACTATGAAGTCCTTGTTTAAGAAATATATATACATCACACAGTAATACTGCATTCATCTTTTATTCTATGCAAGACAAAAATGAAAGTATATGCTACTGTGTAACTATCTATCTTTCATTGATTTATCTTCTTTCGGATACATATCCACAAAGTAACTGACGCTTGCATGTTGGTGTGCTAGTGTGTAAGGAAAGCAAAAATACCAGGTTATTTAATCTTAGATATGAAAGAAAAATAATATTATTATCTCTTGATTAAATTTGTCCACGTGAATGTAACATGTTTCATGTCATCTGCCTCAACCAATCGTTAAGACACAACTTTGTGTCCTTACCTTTTAATCCTGCCTTGGATGTAAGATATTTTGTAAGACTAGCGATTAGTGATAATGAAGTGTACTGTGCAGTTTGTTGACTTTTGAATGATGAATTGACTATTTTGTAAAACAGACAATAGTGACATTGTTAGTTTATTTAATTTCAACCACAGCATGGTTTTTACAATTCTTTGTTTTCAAATTATTGAAATCCTGTTTATGTATGATGTAATAAGGGTAATTGTATATAATGAGTTAGAGGTATTTTTTGTCTAATATATAACATACCGAATATCTTTCACGAAATAAATGAATCAAAAAGAAAAAAAAAGAATGAGGATAATATGAGAGCACAACATGTGAGAAATTAACACAGAATGTCTGAATGCGTTTCAGTACCACCTGCCCCCCAGTGGCACAGCGGGATGTCTGCGGACTTAAAAT